TGGAGAACCCACAGGTTCCCCATCTCCTATACAGATACTCCATTGCCTTGGAAGATGCCTAGATTTGCTGTCATTTGTGCAGGTATATCGGTTCATGTGGAAAGGCAAAAGTCATTATGGATATCCCTCCGCCCTGAAAAGTGTTTGCATTTCTGAAAACACAAAGCAGCACCTGCAGGGCGTGTGGTGAGTTGCATTTGGTGTCCCTCACAGGAATAATTCAGGCACTTGCTGCTGAGAGCATGACAGATCCCGGATCATTTACTTTTGTAATTTGCTGGCTGACTACTAAAATAGCTGGCACATCTTTGATTTTTAGAGTACCTCCAGTGACATTGTATGAAAGTAGGTCACTGGTACAGTGTATGGAATTTGTTGTAAAACATTAATGAGGGGGTTGCTTATGGTGGGATTAAGTCTGCAGAAGTAAAGTATACTATCATGAGGCAGTGATGGGAACATCTGAACTTCTGAACCATTTTGCACTTCTCAGTCGTTCACTTTCTCTGTTTGCCTTCTGCTTTACACAGCAACTGAGGATAATAATCCCCTGCAAAAGGTAATCCATAAGTATCTGGAACATTAATCCTCAGACTATCAGTTTCAAAGAAGAAAAATACTTTCTTGAGTCCAGTTATTTAGACTCCTATTGTGGTGATTCAAAATAATATCCAATGGGATCAGAATAATGGGGGGGGGGACATTGAAAGTAAGCGATGAGGAGGCTTCATTCTTTTCCTGAAATTTCTTACCCACGGTAAGAAGTATTTTATATAATTAAGGCAGTGTTCTCTTTGGGGCAGATATCATTGCCCAAAGCAGTGGTTTTCAAACTGTGTTCAGCAATTACTGGGATGGCAGAAAGCACAATAGCAGTTTCTCAGTGAGGAGATCATAGGTGATGGAAAAGCTTCCCCTAAATGTTTTAATAAATAATATAAACTAACAGTTCAGTTCCAATAAAGATATTAAACCATTCCAATAATACCATTGATTTTTATATTGTTTGATTAGTGTGACCTCTGTTTAGATCAGTGGCCCAGCGTATCAAGAATCCACCCAAATAAAAGCCTGACTAAATAGATAGTTATGGTGAAAAACAACCAGTGTTGGCGCCAGATGGATTTCAAAAGGGAGGGTATTCCAAAGCCTAGGCTGTTTCACTTCCAGTCTCTTAATAATACATTATGGTTCTGTGTTATCAAAACTCCATTTTACATATCCAAGATACTTATTGTATAAACCCATTAGCAGCTGTTGTTTCCAGGTCAACTCAGAATGCTAGCAATTAGCTATGAAACCTGAGCCCAATACCATAGGCATCATGTTCTGCCATATGGCGTGTACCTATAAGGGAGTCTGTTAAGATCTCAAGGAAGGGCCCTGCTCCTGATGGCATCTGCCACTGAATAAAATATGAGTGAGAGGAGCACAACCTGTTCGGTTATGGCACCATAATCATGAGACTCCCTTCCAAGGGGGACCAACCAGCAGAGGTTTTTTTTAAAAAAAAAACCTTTGTTTTTGGCCTGTGCTGGTAATACCTACTGTTGGGGCTGAAGGCCACTGAACACAAACTGTAAAGCTTGCCACTATTTTCATTAGTCCTAATCACTGTCATCAGACCTAATCATAAAAGTATTGATCAGCTGTGGACTCAGGATGATGGTTTGTTGTAGCCAGCTTGCATTAACTTCTGATTTTCAAATAAGTTTACTGTCCTACATAGTGGAAACAAATGCATTCTAATATAAAAGTCTCACCAACTTAAATTGGTATAGGTATATGCAGATAGACTCCATATACATGAAATTGTTTGTGGATTGAGCTAACTTTTTGTAAGTCAATTTGAGTCATTTTTTGAGTAAAGTGATGATGATGATAACAACAAATGGAGCTTATGTTGAAATTCATGGGGAAAACCCTGGTTAGTTGTCAAAGGCTTTACAGCCAGGTGTTTGTTTGTTTTTAGAATTCTGAATATTCCTCCCTAAGCCTGGGAAAAGTTAGTGTGATGAATTCTCTTAAGGGTAACCATCACCATAAACTGTGTGCTTCTATTAATACTTGCACTGCTTGTGTGGTCTATGTAAATGGTTCTATGAGTGTGGCACCCTGACTGAATTTTGCCTTGCGTTGAGCTCTAAGCAGCAACACTTCAGCAGGTTGGTGCACTCACAATGAATAGCCAGCGTCGCTGTGACTAGCATTTGCTCTCCTCCTGTTTCTGAAAAAAGGCTGTCTGCAAACAGTGGCTTTGGCTCAGAAGTGGCAGCTTTTCTTTTGTGCAGACTTGTGTGCTTCCCAGCCTCACTTGCAGAAAGTTCATGGCACTCTTGATATTGAGGACCAAAGATTTTCCAGACACTGCACTGGAATAGAGTGTGACAAGAGAGATCTTTTTCATAGAAGGCTTAAACCACTACAGTCGTACCTTCGTTGTCAAACAGAATCCATTCTGGAAGTCCGATCGACTTCTGAAAATGTTTGACAACCAAGGCACGGCTTCGCTTCCTGCACCCAATCAGAAGCTGTGGAAGCCACATCAGACGTTCCACTTCCAATGAACGTTTGTAAACCGGGACACTCACTTCTGGGTTTGCGGTGTTCAGGGGCCAAAACGTTCGAGTCGCAAGGTGTTTGGAATCCAAGGTATGACTGTATTTTCCCTAAACTTCTGATAGCTGATGAACACTTCATTTATTTTCTTTTTCCTGATTCAAACATCTTCACTCTCATCCTGGAAAACGTTTACGTTTCCTATGTGAATTAGGAAAGTTTTCAGTTTGAATCAGAAAATTTTATAATGTCCTAGAGAGTGATCTAATTTAGCATATTTGCTTTACTTCTGTTTAGAGAACAAAGCTAAAAATTTGGAAACTGCCAAGCTTTCCATTCATTGTTGCCAATGAAATTATGAAATAGAAAATTTTCTGCAGAAAAATTAAGTGGGGGGGGGTCCCACTCCCCTGTGTGGATACAATAGTCACTCTTCTGGGCACATTTCGTTCAAGGAATGGTAATTCTGCTGCTTTCCTTCATCAGCTGAATCGAATGATTGAGAAGTATCTTCTGAGGTACTGCAGAAATCCTTTCCCTTGCAGCTCAGTCTACCTACATGTAATTGCATATTCCTCCTGTTTACCCTACCTTCAAGCTTATCCACTTCCACTATTATCTCCCTTTTGTCTGTTTCTACATTTTAAGCTGCTTGAGGCAGGGACCTTCCTTCTTCCTTGCTAAAGGGATACATGGATGGCACTATATAAAGGACAGAGGTGGATTTAGTTAAACACAACTGGTTCCTCTGCTCTGGATGCTGAGCCTAAGGGGCGCTGCTGGGTGTTGCAACTATGATGTAGCGAATTGACCAGAAAAGAAGGCACGGGGGGGGGGCACACCAAATATTGGGCTTGCACAGAGCACCACTGAAAGACAAAATTCTGCCCATAAGTTTGTTTCTCACAGCACTCTAGCATTGCTTTCTTGGCATGGCACTTGGGAATTACCAGCATAAACAGACTAAAATTACTGATAATTGCCTACTTTCTCAATGTAACTTGCTCTGGCCTGCCTGAGAGTTTCCTAATAGATCTGTATGCACTTCTGCTACCTTTTCTCATCATTGGGAGATGTTCTTTGATTTCCTCCATCCTGTTCTTTCTAAAGCAGGGATGGAAACTCAGACTTCCATGGGTACCAACCAACCTGTTTCCTTATCTGTGGCATAGAGGCCGGTGGATGTTGGGAGTCTGCTGACCTGGTTGATGGTTGGCTTGCTCTGTTTTTTGGGGGACGGGGTAGGATGTCTTTCCTCCTGCATTGATGTTCTGCTATTCTGTTATTTTAATCATTCTGTGGTTTTATATTTTATGAATTGAGTGCAAACTGTAGCAGCCTGGGAAGGAGCATTATCTGTGGCAGCCCCTAAGCTATGCAGTTCCCTCCTCACAGAGGCATGGCATCTTCATTGTATAGCTTTTATCATGTGCTGAAGATGCACCTCTTTATCTTGGCCTTTGACATCAGAGATATATTTTTATTACCCATCCTATTCTTCAGGTTGTAAGTTCCTTTAACTGGTTTTAAACTTGCATTTTACGTATATTGTTGTAACCTACCCTTGGACCTTACAGTCAAGGGTAGATAAGAAGGCCAAGAAATAATAATAGTAAGGCTAATGAGATTTCTCTTCAGCGTATTGGGATGGAAATCTACAGCCTTCTTCATGTGAAATGCTCCTGTTTTTTCCACATCAGCTCACAGTTAACCACTTACCTGGTCACTTGTGGAAAGTTAATTGTTTCTAGGTGTGTGTGTCGATGCATAATTCAGAAGTGTGTGAGTCATAAAGAGGGAAAGGGGTAGTCACATTTGTGGATAGGCTTTAAACATTTTTATCCTACCTGGGGGGGGGGGGTTGTAGGCAGCTTCCAATCAAATGGAAACATCATAATAGCATTCTACTTAATGCTATTATTCAGAACAAATGTGGTAAAATTAGTAGTACTTGGAATACAGCAGAAGCTATAAAATCTCAAAATCAGCACTAAAGTCACCTTTGCTATTTATTCAAAGCCTGGGACAGATAGAGCAGATTTAAATTAGCAGGTCTTAAAGTTTCATTTAAAACAGCTTGCCGGGGCTGGTAGGAACTGTAGTACAAAACAGCATGAGGGCACCAGGTTGTGGAAGGTTGATCTACAGTCAGAAGTAGTAGTGAAACATGTACAGTGTCGCATAGGAAGTTGGAGAAGTGCTTGAAAAGTATTCTATCCTTCCTATTCATTTCCTTCCACTAACCTGTATTTTTGACACCTCAACTACAACAGCATTCTCAAAAACATGTGCAATGAGCCTTGAGGCATATTTATAGTAATACTGTTAACAGCATTTCACAAGCGTAGCTTTTTTTCTCAACTATGAGGTGGGTGACTTGATTTGATCACAGTCAGAACTCCTGTCATGTTCTCCTTTTCCCCTTCCTCTTTCCCAAACAGCCCACTCTTTGTAACGTGGAAGATTGGTCGAGACAAACGATTGCGTGGATGTATAGGTACCTTTTCTGCCATGAACCTGCATTCAGGACTCAGGGAGTACACACTTACTAGGTAAGATTTTGTTTCTTTTCATTTATCTCAGCCACACTCAGCTGATAGGAATTTCTGACCACTTGAAATGCACTAGGTTTTTTTCTCACACAGTTACTGATTCCATAGGCCTGTTGTCACAAAATCTTGTAACTGGGTTCTGTTTTTTGGGGGTGGGTGGGTGGTGGGTGGGTTGTGGCCTAAAAATTTCTGTGGCTTTTGTATAACAGACCCTTATCATAGCATCTTTCTCTGATTATTTTTTTTTATTTGAGGAAAGTGTGACACAAAACCTTGTGTGTAAATATAAAGCTTGGATGGACACATTCAACATTCTCAAACAGCAGGTATTCTCACTACTTCTCCAGCAGGTGCTTCCAATCAGCTGCAATTAACTTAATCCTACACATTTCCATGACACCTTATTTTTCAGTGGCATCTTGTTCTTGAGTGGGAAGCTGCTGGACTAGAGAGGTAAGTAGTAATTAACCCTTCACTTCCTTGGCACCTGATGCCACCTGTGAGTCACACCTAGGCTGATACATACTTTTTTTATTCTTTTTATAGCAGTGGCCAATAATAGAATTAGTATCTGGACTTCAGTCTCTCATAGATTTTTAAGTGATTTTCTGTTTTCTGAAAGATGGGTATACTGGATCAACGTAAACTAACTTCTCTGTTCTTACTGTGTGCCTTTTCAATCTTCAGGCAGTGGTCCAGGGACTGGAAATGTATTTTGCCATGCAATATGTTTATTTGAGTCAGCTGCCCACACTGGTGTCAATAATTGCACAATTGATTTAAATTTGGGAATTGCAACAAAATTTTCCAGTGTGTGTCGTAAGAAGAGTACTTCTGTTCAGAGCTCCAGCGAACAGGAACCTTTCAGGTCTTGCTGGGGCGATGTGTGCATGAGACAGAGACAAGAGATTTGGCATTCCCCATCCAGCCTTTGGGACTCTCTCCAGCCCCACTCCAAGCCCTACTTGAGTGCTTTGTCTGCCTGCAATATGCCATTAAAACTTTTACAAAGCCTCATGGTTGCCTGGATGGAGAGATGAGGGGGGTGGGTGTAGAAACATATGGCTTTTGCATACCTGGATGTGACCTGCCATATAGAGGTAGCAATCACATCCATTGCTCTGCCTACTTTTGTCTTTGGTTCTGCCCACCACTGGCATGCAGCTTCTGGAAAGTTGCCCATAAGGGAATATGGCCTTTGGGCTGAAAAGGGTTCCTCACCTTTGTGCTAGAAAGATCAGGTTGCAGGTGGACTGAAAACTGTCAAGAGACCCCCGAGATCATCTGCCTGTCAAAGTGGATAATATTGAGCTAGTTGGACCAGCAAACTTCTTCCTGTGCTCTTATAGCACTTAAAGGTTCAGGTTTTGGGCGGCCAGTCCCAAATGTTAACATTCCATGTCCATGTAGTTGGGGGTAGAGAGTGGGAGAGGGAAACGGGGTCCTTCCGGAAACATCCCTATACAGTGGATGGAGGGGAAATATTTTTATTTTAATGATGTACATTCCTTCGACACTGAGTGCATACTTAGCGTCATCTTAGAGTCCCTCAGCTTCTCTGCCTGGCACAGGTCTCTTAGTGTGTAGACCCAGACCATTGAGCCCAAGCTTCTATAGCCGCTGTCTACCATGAACCAGCAGTTGCAGAAATGTGCTATGTTTAAAACAGAAATTTATTCTTTTGCTAATTAAATTGTTTTAAATGTTTATTTTTATATTTTAGTTTATTTTGGAATGTTTAAGTTTTTTTGTTAACATCATTTCATTAAATGTGTATTCTGTACTTGACCTCCTTTATTATGTTTTCTTTTGAAATCTTTAAGTTGTAGTTTCCTGTTAATTGTGTCCTTTATAGTTGATTTCCGTTTGTAATGTTTTGTTTTAGATCGTTTTATTTGATGTTTTAATGTAGGTTGTAAACTGCTTTGAGATTTTTTTCTTACAAATCTAAAGTGATATAAAATAAAATTAATAATAATAATATTAACAAACGTGATCTGCCTCACTCCAGGATCCTTTCTGTAAACTGTTCACAGCTTGATCAAACCAGTTCCTTTTTCACTCACCTCCAATTTCTTTCTTTCTCCCCTTTCTCAACTAACTACTCTACATTCTGTAATTGTTTTCAGTTTGTTTACAACCTGAAAGTTCACAGGTGCTTGAAAGTCCATTTTTCTGTTTCTTTGTTTTATAAATACTTTCATTTACAGGCTCATATACTTCTCTATACCTAGGAAACCTCATGAGCATGTACAAAGTACACCTTTATTTCTGGGTGGCCTTGTTTCACTTCCGGATTGAAAACAAGTTCAGATGGTTGCGCACTGGTGATCAGGGCACTCATGGTGTTTGAAATTATAAAGGAGAGAATCACCCCCTCTTTGCCTTACTTTTGAAAACTGTTTTTTCCCCTTAAAACTGAATTGTTTCGGTAGCAACGTAAGAGGAAAAATGACTATTACTCATACTTAATCTAAGCACAACTGCAAAGGCTTCTGATTAGGCATGTAGCTATGTGATGTTGAATGTTATCTGCTAAGTCTGTTCTATCCTGTTTCCCCTTCATTATTGTTTTCTTTTAAACCAAGTCACGAACCAAGTATTACTGCAAATTTTTATGCTATTTTTGTGATGTACAAATGGCATGATACTTGTTCTGTTTCTTTGTATCACTTGTTATTCCTATGGTAATAAAAGGTAAAGGACCCCTGGACGATTAAGTCCAGTCAAAGGTGACTATGGGGTTGCGGCGCTCATCTCGCTTTCAGGCCGAGGGAGCCAGCATTTGTCCACAGACAGCTTTCCGGGTCATGTGACCAGCATGACTAAACCGCTTCTGGCGCACAGAACTCCGTGATGGAAGCCAGAGTGCACGGAAACACCGTTTACCTTCCTGTTGCAGCGGTACCTGTTTATCTACTTGCACTGGTATGCTTTTGAACTGCTAGGTTCAAAAGCATACCAGTATTTCTATGATCCTTGTTTATACAATCCAATAATAATCATTTTTTTAAGTGAAACTTAGAAACTACTACTACCACTACTACTACTTTAGCCCTTTAATTCCCCTTTGAGTTCTTAAGGTGAAAGACAAAGCTGGGACACACACACACACACACACACACACACAAATCTGTCCCAGGCACATAATTGCGTAGCCCCTGGACATTTGATTTAGGTGCCCTGGAGTCTTTATTATTATTATTATTATTATTATTATTATTATTATTATTATTATTATTATTTTCACAGGGCAGACCATCTGTAGATCTGGTACTGGTTTCTTGGATACTCCCACCCTCAGTTTTAGTTAAAAATTATAATTTATTTTCCCTTTTTACTGTGAATACTCCATATTTTTGCTAATACAGTAAGATTGCAACTTAATGTGGGGGTTACAGTCTAGGGATTTCGCCTCAAGCCAAAATAGTGTTTAGTCCAAACCCTTCGGATTCAGTGGTGGCTGGGATTGCCAAAGTCATTTTCCCCAGAACCCTGCCCCCTTTCTTCCCCTTTTGGTTTGTTTATTTTTTCTTTGGGATCATTTCCCAAAGAAAAGGATATATACTGTTGTCAGATTGCATGTAGCCACGGTCAGTTCTCTGCAGAAGGCCTGTGCAATCTAATTTCTCTTCAGTCTGATGCAGAACTGATGCCAACAATGTTTCTCATAAAAATAATTGATACCTTGCCATTAGTGCCTTGTAATTTGCAATATTAAATAGCAAGAGCCCCAGAAGAATTCTGTCTTCTTGCTAATCAGTCCACTTGCCTTCCCACTTTGTCAAAAGGAGTCATTATTTGTTGGCCCTTACGATGCCCTTGGGAGACCTTCACCCCACCACAAAATGAGGAGCTGGGTGAGTCAGGAGAAAAGGAAATGTCAGTTCCCTGCACTGGATACAGACTTTTGTGGTGTTGTCCTGTTGCTGGGCCCAATGTTGACTTTTCCTGGGTTCCCTTTTGAAACTTTCAGAATTCCTAGAAGAAAGGGATCAGCTACCCCTTTTGGAGCCAGTTTAATAGGGTCTGAATAGCATCTTTTATGTGTTGTGAAAGCAATGCCTGGATGTCAGTAACTGAAGAATTTGCTTTATCAATGTGGAAATGGGAGTTGGATCTTATGGTTCCCAGCTCTGGTGACCTTGAGGGGTGGGGCAGTTTAAGGGATAATCTTCACTTCCGGCCACAAAAGGATCTGACGTAACAAATGGTAATGTGTTGCATCACTGGCATGAGACAAATCTGTTTTGTGCTTACCCTGACTACTCATAAATTTATTGCTGGCAATCCAACTCTCTTGCATACTCTGAAGGAGAGGAACCTGAGGGCTGTGGATTTGATTTTTCATTGAGTATTTTTGCTTTCTTGTGATTTGTCTGGACGGTTTCACAAACCTTTGCTATTTAAATTCTTTTTATGCTTTATAAACTCAGCAGCCATCCTTTGGGAGAGCCCTTTTTTGAGGAACTGCTACAGCCCAGTTTGCACTTTCTTTCTTTTTTTGGGGGGGGGGGGCGGCGGCTATCGCCTTTGTACTGTCCCCAGTTGACAGCAGATGTTCAAGGATGCACTGCAGCAGCCTGGCTTTCGGAGACCATATCTTTATAGCCCAAGGGCCAAACTACACATGACAAGAACATCCATGTTTGTTCACATCTGTTCAATTCATGTACAAAGTGCGGGAAAGTCTAATTCTTGCATGCAAGTGCCGTTTGAGTCAGGGGAGCCAAACCCCCTGCCTTTTCTGCCTTACTGACCTGCAAACCTTACTGAGTTACAATAATTTCTTAACTTTTCACCAGCTTATCTGCTCTGATATGAGAAGTGATCGCTGGGCTTGTATGCTTTAAGTTAGGGTTACCAGATGTCCCCATTTCCTGGGGACAGTCCTTGGATTTGAGAATAAGTCCCTGGGCAAATTCCATCCCCGGAATGTCCCTGGATTTCATCTAATGTCCCCGGGAAATGCAGCAGCGGCAGTCTCAGCAGCCCGGAGC